GCTGGACCTGGGCCCCCGCTGTCCTGCCCCGTCCCGGGCGTGAGGGAAGGCCGGGATCCCAACAGCTCCCGTCACGCAGGGTTCACCGGAGCATTGGTGGGCCGGAGGAAAGAGCGGTGTAGTGTAGAGGTCAGGGGCGGGTCTGGCTTTAAGTCACCCGTGCTCGCGCTGTTCAGCGGACGGTTGCCGCCTCCTTAAAGACTCAGTGGTGAATGGGTTCTTAGGCCGTACCGTAGGTGAGGGAAAAAGGGCAGCGTACTCTAGCAAATATGCTCTTGTTACCTGGCACCCCTGGTGTTGCCAGGAAGGTCCTGAACTGGGTTTATATTGATCATTTCCTGGCACACTTCACAGTTGCCTCTGTGAGAAGCAGCTACCAAAGCCTGCAAAATTCAGTGTTTTAGGCCGGGCGAGGCGGCGCACGCCTGTGATCCCAGCAAGGCGGACGCTGTGAGGCAGGAGGATCACCGTGAGTTTGAGGCCATCCTGGGCTACATAGTGAGCTCCAGGCCAGCCTGGACTGCATAGTGAGACCCTGTCTCAAACAAACAAAAAAAGCAGGCACTCAATAAAAAAAAAAAAAAAAAAAAAAAAAAAAAAAAAAAAGGAGGCAGTGTCCTGTAATTTGAAGTTAGGAGGTCACATACAAAACCACCCTTTCTCTGTGGCGGCGACGCTTTAGGTGAAGGCTCTAAGGCTGGAAAGCTTTTGGTTATTTTGAGGACTAGAACGTGGGTAATGAGTGTAACTGGAACTTAGTGGGGACTGAAGGTGTAGGATGCAGAGTTTAAATTTTAACCACCGGTTGAATTTTATTCTGAGAGCCATGAGATGCAATGTAAAGGGTTTTGAGATGGGAGGAGGGATTAAATGTTGGTGTTTGAAAAGTTGACTATGATTCTGTGTGTTAGTAAATTGGAAAGGGATTGGAGTGAGAATGTTTATGTGTCCTCGTATGTGACGTAAATTATTTTGGTAACCTTATGAGAAAAAAAGGGCAAATTTTGTTGATACTTTTTATTTTCAAATAATTACAAATCCATAGGAAGTTGCACAAAAAGCAGAGAAGTTTCATGTGCCCTTCGCCTGGTTCTTCCCAAGGGTATCATTGTACAAAACCAGAAAATTGCTAGTGGCACAATCCACAGACCTTGTTAAGATGTCATCAATTTTGCCAATACTCGTTTGTGTGTATGGGTCTATTCATTGTAATCGTGTTAACTTTTGTAACTCTCCCTCTGAATTAAGATACAAAAATGTTGCGTTGACACAGATAACCCTGTGTTACCTATCCCTGCGTAGTCACATGCTGCCTCTGTACCCTTCCTAACGCTTGGTAGACACTCATCCTTTCTACATTACTGTAATTTTTCATTTTGAAAATTACACAAGTGGAGGGCCGGGGATTTAGCTCAGCGGTTCGGTGGCCTGCCTTGCAAGCGCAAGGACCCGAGTTCAATCCCCGGTACCAAAAAAAAAAAAAAAAAAAAAAAAAAAAAAAATTACACAAGTGGAATACAATATGTAACCTTTTAAGATTGCTTTTTTTTTTCACACAGGCTAATGTCCTTAAGATCCATCCAAAGTGTTGGCAATATTGATAGTGGAATTATTTTTTTCCTCATTGAATAGAATTCTATGGTATGGGTATATCACAATTTGTTTAACCTTCCATCAGTTGAAAGGCATCTGGAACTGTTTCCAGTCCAGTTTTTAGATATTGAGAATAAGAGCTGCTATAAGCATTCATATACAGATTTTGATATGAACATAAATTTTCATTTCTCTGGGATAAATACCCCTAAGTGCATGTTTAGTTTTGTTTTTAAAAATTTGTTTATTTAAAGAAACTCACTTTCCAGAGTGGTTGTACTATTTTTTTACATTATTTTTTTCGGGGGTGTACTATTTTACATTCCCACCAGCAGGGTGTAAATGATCAGTTTCTCCTTATCATTACCTGTATGTGGTGTTATCACTTTTTTTGTTTTAGCCATTGTGATAGGGATGTAGCGATGTCTCATTGCAGTTTTAATTTGCATTTTCCTAATGCGGTAATGTCTGGACAATGGAGTGACTAATGGTGTGGTTCATATTTTCAGGTACTTATTTGCCATCCTTAGATGAAATTCTTGTTCATATCTTTTGCCTATTTTCTAAATTATATGAGGTGTGAAAAATAAATGGTGAATGTTTACATTTTTTTTAGTTTATTACAGCAGAAGACACATTGCTATTAAACCCCCTCCAAATATTCCTGCTCACTTCAAACGCACTTATCCCATCGTCCTTGGCAATATATTTGTACTGTAATATGTTTTGTAAAAAACTTAAACATTCACATATCTCTTGACCACTCCTTGTAATTAGCTTAGCCTGTTTTGAGAGCTCTTCACATATTGTGGGTATGAGTCCTTGCTCAGATATATAGTTGTATTTTCTCCCAGTCTGTTGATTCTTAAAGTCCAATTTATGAGTTTTTTGCCCTTGCTAGGTCATGCTTTTGGTGTCAATGCTAAACCCCAGAGATTTTATCGTATTTTCTTCTAAAAATTTCATACTGAATATTTAATAGTATAAAATTTATTATTGGGCTAGGGATGTAGCTCAGTGGTGCTGAGCCTGCCTGGCAAGTGCAAGGTTCCGAGTTCAATCCTGGACGCAAAAAAAAAAAAAAAAAAAAAAAAAAAAAAAAAAAAAAAAAAAATATTTACAGATGAAATAATGTATAATGTGATGTTTAATTTGAATTGAAGTATAATACAAGAGTGGCTAAAATATGTGGGGTATAGAAGAAGCAAGATTTGCCATGAGTTGATGATTATTGAAGTTAGGCAATATATTTGTATTTTGTTTTTTTGGTACCAGGAATCGAACCGGAACCTTGCACTTGCAAAACAGGTGGCAGTACCACTGAGCTAAATCCCGAGCCCTACTTTAAATATTTTTAATGCCTACTTTAGTATAAGATTATGAAGGTTTCAGAAAATATGAAGCCTGTTTTAGCAGTGGTTATTCTTCTAGAATTTTTTTTTTTTTAAACAGGGTCTCACTATGTAGTTGAGATTGACCTGGAACTCACTGTGTGGCCCAGGTTGGTCTCAAACTCACAGTGATCCTCCTGCCTCAGCCTCCTGAGTGCTGGGATTACAGGCATGCACCACCACGCCCGGCCTCTTCTAGAATTCGTAAAAGCCCACTTTTTTAGATTGCGTACAGAAGCTGGTTATTGTGAAAGTTGTATAAGGAACAACAGTTAATAAATGAGTGACAGAAACTATAGAGGAATGTGAGTACATTCCAATAACTATGATTAATGTAGTGAGCCCAGATCCTATTTCACTTATGTTGCTTTTTCTATACCCTCTCTTAATTGTGGTCATTGTTCATTTATCCAGCTATCTAAAGGTGCTACAGGGAAGAACCACCTGTTGGCTACCAGCCGAATGCTCTGTCCCAGCTTTGAGGATTGCACTAAAGGAGGAAACTTTTATGCACCTGACCGCCAATTTTTTTTTTTTTTTTTTTTTTTTTTTT